TTATTTAGTATTGTAATGTATTATAGTACCAAGAGTATATGTACCATAATATTGTTAATAAATTTAGGTAGCTCTACAAAATCATTTATGAGTATATGTAGTTGGTCACTGCTTTTTGTTAAGAAACTACATTTAGTTCCCAGGTTATGCCGTCCATTTTTTAATTTTTGAAATTTCTAAAAGACAAAATAAATCTTATTTAAAAATAATACATATTTACGATGTGTTAATTTCTCGTCCCATTTTTTTTTACACAAGAAGCATATTATTTTCATGACTGATTCAGCAAGAAATTGAGTCTCCTATAAAAATGGATTGAAAAATGAGAATAGATATTTAAGCTCTGTACTTCATATAACTTTATCAAATCAAATCAGCACATCGGTAATAAAAGCTAGTGATATTGATCGAACAAACACCGCATAAGAAAATTCACTTGTCGTAATTAAAATACTTGATGTATATATACTTCAACACTAAGTTTTCTTTCGAAAAGAAAAAAGAAAAATCACTTGCCTGCACCATACTCACCTTAGTGACATATTTAAAAAAAGAAATAATCACTATGAAAAATAAAAATAAAATATATAAAATTAGAATAAAACGAAAAAGGTGCATGTGATGACTTTAAATTCAGCCACCACTTGAAAGCAGTTGGTGCAATGAAGATAGAATGAAATGTGAATAAAGATCAATTTTTTTTCCAAGGAAAAGACTTTAAAATCCTCATCATCATACAGTAGCAAAAAGACTTTAAAATTTAAAATTAAATTGAAACACTGTAAACACAACAGTTATTTTCAAGAATTAAAAAAATATTACTCCTCCGGTCCTAAATGTAAGACCCTTATACACTCTTATACACACTAGTATAAGGGTCTTATATTTAGGACAGAAGGAGTATAATGTTTAATTTTGATAAAAAGTTATTGATATTTTATAAAAATGGTTTTAATTTGTAACAAGCTTTAAGAATTTTGACGATAATCTCATGAATGTAGGCATATGTTTAATCTATACAAAATGTAATTTAATCTTTTTTGTTTTGTCCAGAAGATGACATATTTTTTAAAAGTTTAAAATGAAAAATATGTCATTAAACGTAACTTTATTAGTAAAAATGTAAAATGCATTGGTAGGTAGATATCATATCATGCGGCTTCAAAGGAAAATTTCCAAATGAATGTTACCGAGTCAAACCCTTCAACCTCGCTTTGTCTCACATATATGTTTCACTTTACAATTGAATAGTCACGCCAAATCATTATGTTTAAGATGATTTCTTTTCTTATCATTACATTTTAAGAAAATTGTGACCATTTTCTCCGGCAAGAAGTAAAATTGGCGATTAAAAATTTGAATTTTATAAATGAAAAAACAAAGGCCTCGATCATTTTAAGGAAACCTAACAATAATCGAATTTCATTCAGAAATAATGGGTACTATATGTTTACAAGGGAGAAAAATAAATACTCATCTGGTCCTTAATATATGACCCAATTCTTGAGTTAATTTTAGTCCTAAATATAAGAACAATTTTTCATATTTATCAATTTTTTCTAAATTACCCATATGGATACTCCCTCAACCATAATCAAGTAGAAGAGAGGGGGTATTGAGAAAGATGATTATAGTATTTTAGAAAAAACGTATTACTTTTCTTACAATTAACTAATTTACCTAACTTCCTTAATCTAATCAGATTAGTTAAATGGGTCTTATATTAAGGACTAAAGGAGTAAAAAAAAGAATGACAAGATGTGAGCGTGAGAAAATTGACTGAGTTATTAACACATTTTAGTAAATATTCACGTTCATCATCCGGTATTAATCACACGATTCAGATTAGAAATCCCATGAGTTGCGCAAAAGTTGACAGAGCATGTTTTCCTGTAAATTACATATTTGTAATAATTTAATATCATTAAAAAAACTTGGCCAAAAAGATGATTTCAGTGATTGATAAGTCTTCACGAGACACTTAGGAGGTGTTTGGCTATCTCTCCAAACCGTGATTTGAAAAAAATCAGCCAAACATCCACTTTTTTTTTTTTTAAACCATAGAGCATGTTTTCCTGTAAATTACATATTTGTAATAATTTAATATCATTAAAAAAAACTTGGCCAAAAAGATGATTTCAGTGATTGATAAGTCTTCACGAGACACTTAGGAGGTTTGGCTATCTCTCCAAACCGTGATTTGAAAAAATCAGCCAAACATCCACTTTTTTTTTTAAAACCATAGTTTCAGGCAAAACTAAAGTTTAGCCATGGAAACCATGGTTTTAAAATAAGCTACCGGACCTGGCTTTTGAGCAATAAAATGTTGTTGGAGTAATAATTATTCCTCAGTGGCTCCCAACAGTCAAAAAAGGAGGAATCCTTCATTTCATTGTTCCGATTGTTTCAAAATTAATAGGGAATTTTTTGTGTGTTTATTTAATTTTAAGAAACCGTAATATTTTTTATTATTTTAAGAGATCATAATATTTTTTATTGGCAAAATAAATAATTTTCTATAAACATATTTAATTATTTTATAAATATATATACACACATTAATTATTAATTATTTATATTATTTATGTCTCATTTATTGTGTTGCCAAAATATATATTATTAACAAATTTATTATTTCAAATTAACATATATTATGAAATATATCTTATATGTAATTATCATTTAAAACTTAGTCCTTTTTAATAATTTCTACATATAAAAAAGTACTTCTGATAACAACTATCCAAACACTCTCACTTTATCAGAATCACTTTTTCAGAAAATCTATTCTTTCAAAATCTATTCTTCTCAAAATCTATTTCCAGAAGCTATTCTCTAAATCATGGTTTGGGTTTATCCAAACATCCCCTTATTTAAACAATTTACTTCGACGATGTTACAAAGATAATACTACCTCTAATTTTAATTATAAAATCTTATTTGTAACCTTTAAACTATAAACCAGATGTTATAAATAAGATGATCACGTCAATCGATAATTAATTCGATAAGCTACATCCAAATACGAATCTGTGAGACTGTGACTAAGATGATAATTAAATTATCGGTGACGGTGAAGATGATAAGGCAGCCGAAACACTTTCCCTCACTCCTTCCAAATAAAAGCACGTGACATTTATGTATAATATTACCAAAAAGAAATATATTTTTTTACGTCGGAAGATGGAAACATTACATCACATCCCGCAATAATATTTTCGTGTATTTGAAGAAATGATAGCATTAGAGTGTGCCCGACGTTGATATTTTATATTATACTCATAGTTTCTTTTTCACTACTGGAGATATACATGTGTTCATTCACTTTTAAAACAATTATAATTAATCTAAATTTAATTAAGCATCAAAATCGAAATAGAAGGTAGCTTTTCTAGTACTCATTTCAATAGTTAGATAGCTAGTTTGTAAAGATTAAAAATTAGTTAAATGTGTTATTTACGAGGAAAATGTGTTAATTTTCTTAAAACATTGTTTTTAATTATTTTTGCATTTAATATTACTTTCTTGAGGAAAAAGGGAAAAATGACAGAAAAATAATTGTTGAGTTTGAAAAATTTTAGAAAGTCACCTGAATAAGATAAATTTTCTTTTAGTCACACATGGCCAAATGGGGATTTTATAATTTGATAGAGTGTGGCTGCGGGTGACTAAAAGGAAATTTCTCTTATATAGGTGACTGTTTGAATATTTCCAAATTCAACAATAATTTTAGTGTCATTTTCCCATGAAAAAACTCATTAATGGGTGTAATCAGTTGATAGAGTTTAGGGAAAAAAAATAGATCTAAGAGATAAAATAAATCGAAATCTTATATATATATATTCAAAAATTAAAACTAAAACAAACTTCTCTCTCTTCTGATAGTGTATTCAAACTAATATTAATATTTAATTTATCATGGATAAGGGACATCAAATCTGGCTCTCTCGTTCAGTCTAGCAGTTCAGAAATATATAACGTATTAAAATTAAATATTAATATGTTATGTACCGTATAAAAGAGTAAGGCAGATGGTGAGAAGTATTTAAAGCATCCACAAAGCTGACCTCTTCTTCTTATCCGCCCGTCGTCACCTACTTCGCTGCACTTTCCAACCATGATTTCCCCCCCTCCGTTTCTTAAAGCGTTGCGGTTGTTTCACTTGTTTTGTTCCGCCACGCTTGCGTTTTTTCTATTTCTATCCAAACATGACAGATTGCAACACATGTTCGACATGATTATCATGAATACACACACACACACACATATATATATAGTAGTGTGCGTGTGTATTTTGCCAAGTGTATATATATATATATATATATATATTTTTGGCCACATACACATGAATTCTACTTAGTTTTGAACTTCTGATCATTAAACTTTAATATAATTTTGTCTATTATATTCGTTATCTTCTAAATTAATTTATTCAACTTATGAATTAATATATAGGGTTGTTTGGATTAAAGTATTTTTCTGTAAATCGAAGCATACTCCTCCTCCTCCACATATTTTTTTTGTATATTGTAAAAACATTTTTAAATATATGGTTTTGTTTTCACCCAAACATCCTCGTAATCTAATAATGTTATCAATGTTAAATTTGTTTGGATCAAGTAATTATTTAATTCTCTTGATCCATACAAATTAATTAAATGCATTCATTCTAGTTAATATATAGAAATTTCTAATTTTAAAGTGGAGGGGATAATTTGTGATTGGCACCAATCAACCCCAATTCAAATTCAAGTCAAAGAGAGGGCCTAAAATGACAAAAATTCTGAGCAGCCAAAGAACATGGGATCCCTCACAATCAGCTTTTGAGAGGGTGAGAAGAAATGATGCTGAACGAGTCAGGTCATAGTCAAACGGCGAGTCATTCCCATACGCGTTTGTGACGGACTTGTAACTGAGTCATCTCCTTACAACTCGGCTGCCCTATATAATACTGCTCACACGCGCAAACCCCCAAACAGAACCTTCTCATTTCTTTCTCACTTCTCCCCGGTCATCTCCCTCTCCTCCTATAAATACCCTCTCTCCCTATTCTCTTACCCCCCTCCCTCTACCTGCCGTTCCTTCCTATCTCCGAATCTTCTTCTTCGCTCTCTCTCTCTCTAGAGGCCGCCATGGGCTTTCCGGTGGGATACACCGATGTCGTTTTGCCCAATCTCTTCCTCCACACACTCTCGCTCCTCGGAGTCATCCGCAACCTCATCTTCATGCTATTCCACTCCCTCGGCATCTCCGATTTCCTCGAAACCGAGGTCGTCTGGTCCGAATCTCAAGCTCGATTGCCCGACAGCCCCCCGGTTTCCGCGCTGCTGATCCGCGAATTCCTCCCTGTCGTGAAGTTCGGCGAGCTCCTCGCCGCCAACGCCGCCGGCGACACGCCCGAGAGCTGCGCCGTCTGCCTGTACGAGTTCGAGGGGGAGGAGGAAATCAGGTGCCCGACCAATTGCAAGCACATTTTTCATCGGGCTTGTCTGGACCGTTGGCTGGATCACGATCAGAAGACCTGTCCCCTGTGTAGGACCCCCTTTGTGCCTGATAATAGGCAGGATGATTTCAATCAACGGCTCTGGGCTGCTTCCGGAGTCTCTGATGTTTATGGAGACTACACTTCTCTGTGAGATTTTTATCTTTGGTCCTCTTCCTCTCTCTCTGTTTTTTTTTTCTTGGTTTTGTCTGGGTATTCTCTCAGATATTTTATTGTATGATCACACTAGTGCGATCATATTGAAACCACGAAATGTATATAGCAGGGTCAGTCATAAATAAAGAGATTTTTTTTTTTTAATGTCTGTATGCCTCTTTTTTCCCCAGAAAATTTGGGTTGGGATTTGCATAATTTGCTTGGAAAATTTTGTCAGCAACCCAAATAGTAGTTGTTGTTATTTTTCAGTGATTTTATCGGAGAAAAAAATTGAGGTGAATGTGAACCAGATCCGGCATGATTACAGATCTTTTAAGATTTAGGTTTTGGCATATGCTGAGGAATTGTTGTTGACGAAGAGAGGCGGTAATTTAGTGTGTTGAAATTGGAAAAGCCAACTAATAATTATTTACTACGTGGGAACATTGACGGAGCTGCTTTTTTTTTTTTTCCTCCTTTTTAATTCAGTTAGATAGCTGATAAAAAGGAAATAAATAGCTAACCCTAATGATTCAGCTTCTGATCATAACACTACTGCAAACTATTCCTCTGATCCTATTTATAAGACACTTTTAGCATGTTTTATATAGATAAAAAAAAACTTTAAACTTTATTAACTCTCGTTTAAAATTTAATAACTTTTCAATTTTATCTCTATTTAATATATATTATATTTTATATAAACAAAGTCAACACAATAATAAAGAGTAAAATTGTACATCTATACAAAAAATTCCTCTTAGTATCCTATAAATAAAACTAAAAAATATCTCTTCTTTTTGTCCTATAAATAAAATAAGAGGAGTAAGTTTTTAGAATTTAATTATTTTTTCAGTGCAGCAAAAAGCTAAAAGGCTGCCCACAAGGCCAACCACGCACACAGTACACCAAATTTGCATCAATTTTTGAATATCTAAATAGGTATCGTATTTATGATTGAGCGGCTCGTCAATCTAACGCTTGCACTTAACTGATAATGCCTTTTCTCAAAATACTATACCGTTGGTACAGTTACGACATCGTGTCCTGGACATAGACTGTCATATTTTTGGAGTACAGTAATGATTATCAATACCAGCTAATTTACAACGTTGTGAAGGTTAGACCTGCCTATTAGACCAATCAAAGTCTTTTTTGTTTTTTTTTTTTTTTTTACCAGCAAACCAATCAAAGTTCAATACTGTGATTAAACCAGTAATGACTTCTTTTTTTAAAAAAAAAAAGAATGATAGCGGGCTAAAAAAAAACCAATTATTTCATCAAAACTGCTTGAGGGAAGTTAATCCCTGCAAAGTCATTAAACCAGTCATGAATATTTAAATCTAAAAAGTAATTAATACATAAACGTAACAGAAAAAAAGGCGATCCTATTAATGCAAAATACATATATTTATGTATAATTTTAAGATGAATATGTGGGTACTTAGTACTTACATGGATTTTTTTTTTTTTGCATATTTGTGCATTTTTCTTTTCTTTATATATAGTGCGTATGAATACGTATAAATTGTAGTTTAAAGACATAAATTAATTTTTTAAAATGAAAAACATGTTACAAGCTGAACCACCTGTTCATGCCCTCCAGTTTTCTGTCATCTTCCAGACGCTGAATTGGTTATTGATTCACCAGCCCAATTTTTAAGACTGTGAAAACTTGTATTCGAGTAGAATTTATATGAGTTTTTCTGATTAATAAAAATAAGTCGTTACTTGATTACTCTAAGTATTGAATTAGCTCATGATAAATAATTATCAACAGTTTTTTTAAAATTTATCTAATTAATTGCTGCAATTATAATAACATTCCTGCATTTTATTAAAATACAAATATTATCTCTTTTTTTTATAAAAAGACAATTCATTTAAATAAAAATATTATCTAATGAACGATATTATGTATTATCGGTTTCATATAACATATTTTTTTAAAATTTCATCAGTCATATAATTGAATTTATGGGGGAAAAAAGAATAAATTATGAATGTAACGATGGAATTTTGAAATTATAAGCATTGCCACCATCATAAGTAACTTCTTTCTTTGCCGCCATCATTGCATTAATGCATTGTCAATTAAAAAATATCACATTATTTATAAAATAATACAGCTTGTCTCAAATTCTGAACGAAGCAAGAGGTCGCGATCTAGGTCATCAATTTTTGTAGATTCCCACCTCCAAAAAGAAAATTCACAAGCTTCCAAAATGATATTTCTCCGATCCTTAATATAAAATCTATTTAATTAATTTAATTAGATTAAAAAAATTGGGTAAGTTAATTAATTATAAAAAATATGACATATTTTTTTATAAAATACCATAATCATCTTCCTTAATACCCTCCCTTCCTTTTCTACTTGATTATGGTTAAGGGAGTACCTATAAGGGTAATTCAGGAAAAACTGATAAATATGAGAAATAAGTCTTATATTTAGGACTAAAATTAACTCAACAATCAGATCCTATATTAAGAACCAGAAGAGTATTTATCTTATCTGGATCATACACAAGGATTTTCACTAATATTTTGTACATTGCTGCCATAACATTATTAACCTGAATATTTGGAAAGGAAAATTTTATAAACTAACATTATTAACCTGAAAATTTTATAGAGTGCCTGTGAACTTGGAAATAAATAAAAATAATTGTAAAAAAATTAGTTTATTGTGTCACTCTACTGTTACTTTAGAAGCATGTATTTTTAAATTATTAAGGGAGCTATTCTTTCACGATATCGTTATAATAATAATATCATATTTGCTTACTAAGTATTGAATATCGAAGAAGTCTTTTTTTCACGCCTTTGAATCCAGAAACTAATAATTGTTTAGAGTCAAACGTGAACTTAATTTGAAGATGTGGCTTTTCATATTTCACTAATATTTATTGCATTTGCACGTGGTAATAAAATAATAGAAATTTATTGCCATTGACAGTTGCAGATTGGGCTGCAGGAGAATTTCTGTTTCCTCAAAATGTTATGCAAATTATTATCATTATTTTACAAGTTAATATAATTTTTAGTCTTTCAAATTTATTCTCATTTTAGTTTTAAGTTTTTAAGTTTCAAACTATAGATTTTGGTCCCGTAAGGAGTAAAATGGTCCAAGTTTTCATTAAATTATATGGACAACTATTTTAAATAAAAAGAAACTTGATGAATTAAAACTCATGGTTTGAAATTTGAGGGATCAGAATAAAAATTAAGACAAAATTGAGGGACTAAAAACTATATTAAACCTTGTTTGACCATTGAATTATTATATTCCAATCATATGTTTTTGAAATATTCAATCTCACTTTTAAGAACGTAGGGAATCCAAACTACATCAGATTTGCAATACCAAATCTTTAGGACCTGTTTGGTTTGGAGGGAGGGAGGGATGGGGAAGAGGAAGGAAGGTTTTATCTTTACCTTATTTAGTTTGATTAAAAAAGAAGGGAGATGATGATATTTAATAATTTCTTGTTTGGTTCAAGGAAGGGAGGAGAGGGATGGTAATAATCAATTTACCATTTTACCTTTACATACTAGTTTATATTTTATATTAATATATTATATAAATTAATTTACATCTTAATTTAAATTATATAATTTAATAAAAATTCAGTCTTATCATGTTAATATGTGCATTAAAAAATTGGTACAGTAATTTTTTTATTCTACTTAATATAATAATATATTTAAAATAATCAAATTAACAAATTTTATATGCTGTGAGAAAAATGAAATTTTATTCTCTTTAGGCTATCCTTTTTTCAGCTTTAAAATATATTTAATAAATAATATATTTATAAAAAAACAATTAATTTTATAATATTATAAATTTTTATTTAAATAATTTTTTATAATATATTTTTTAATTATAATAATTTTTATTTTTTACTTAGGATAATATATTTTTTATTTGAAATAAATATTATAATAATATATTTTATGGATAGAAGTGGAGTATTAAAAAAATCATAAGAGTATAATAGTCTAAAAATTTAGCTCCCATCCAAAAACTCCCAATTTGGAGGGGAGCTAAAATGAGGAGAGGGAGGGGAGGGGATATTTTGGCTTCCCTCCCCTCCAAATTTTTAACCAAATGAAGGGAGGGGTTCATTTCCCCTCCCCTCCTTTACCCCCCAACCAAACAAACCCTTAAGCTTTTAGTGGGGAGCAGCACCTAATAAACATCATTCCAACTAAGAAATCATAGAAAGTCTCCAAAATCTCTCCCCTAATAAAATAATTATAATTGATCATGAATCAATTTTATATGATCACAAAATCAAGTTATAATGCATGTTTCTCATACAAACGGTATAGTTTCACGTCAAAAGTGTAAAAATGATCGTTTCTGATTATTTTTCTAAGCAATTCAAAAGCCCGTTTATCATTCATCACGGGCAACTTTATGGGCTCATTGAGGACATATTTTCACTGAGCCCATTTTCTGAAGTATGTGACCCAATAGCCAAACGGATCCAAGAAATCTACTGCATAAAAGAAAAGAAGCGAAGGTCATGATGAAGTGCCAATTACTAAGAAGGAACCAAGGACTCAAAATCTGTGCCCTTTTCTAATTAAATAAACACTACAATCCATTAAATTATCAATCATCATTTGTTAGTCCTTTCACAACATTTATACTACCTTCGGTCCTAATTATAAGATTTTAATTATAACCTGCAAACTAGATCTTATAATTAGGACCGGATCTTTCATGATAAAATATTGTTTACTTTTGATTCTTCTCCTTCCCAACTTGAACTATTGCACTTCATCAAAGCTTGTCAAGCCCATTTTTGCTATTTTTGGAGCCATTTCTGTAAATTAATTAAATGTGATTTATAAAAGTGACAGGAGTAGATACTTCAAACCTTCTTCTATGTACCTTAAATCTTTTTGGATTTTTGATAGTTCTTCCTCTTTTCGATAAAACTCTAGGCCAAAATATTTATGATCTATGTAAGCTCTCAATTTTGCATCCTTAATATAAAAATTAGTTTAAGATTATATTTAATTCAAAATATAAGATCTAAATTCACCTTAACTCTCAAATTTAAATATTTTTTTAAAATATCCCTATTAATTGCAAGTTGTTTCCACTAACAAATAATTTCAATACACAATATTAAAAATGGTAGTTTA